CAAATATGAGAAGAATGATAATATAAAATGTATTAATAAAATAGAAAATAATATGACAGATAAAATAGATATCATCAATAAATTGAATGAGAATAATAGAAATTACATCAATATAATTAATATTGAATTCATCAATATTTTCAGATAGTTGCATCTATGATCCATTGACCAATCAATAAATTAGACAAAATTGATCTATACATTAGAAAAAAGATGAAGATGCAAATATATACTCTAAACTATTAATTAAAGATTATATATTAATAAAGATAAATTGATTGATTGATTAATATTATTAAGGGATGAATATAAATTAGAATTAATAAGAATAATATTGTATTATGAATTGAAGATAATGGAATAAAAGAAATGATAAAAATGAATAAGAAATGAAATTTGAAGAGATTTTATAAAGTGTATGATAAAAGAATTAATAAAAATGAAATTAATGAAATATATTTATTATTACAAAATATGAATGAATCATCTATAATAATAAAATATTTAAATATTAAATTTAATGATTATTAATAAATTGAAATTAAATAATGTAATTATTCATTTAATAAAATAAATTGAAAATAAAATGATATGAAATTAATAAGTAGAATAATAAAGAATATTAATATAAAAAGAAATTAATATAATTAATTAAAATTAATCTAAGAAATTATTATATTTGTATTAATTATGAAAATATTAATTACATAAAATATTAATTTAAAATAGTGTAGTATTTGTAATAATAAAATATCAACAAATGAATATATATTATTAAATTATATTATAACGAAGAATGAACAAATTGAAAAACATGAAATAATAATGGAATATATCTAGAGATGTGATAAATTAAAATATTAAATAAATATAATGAATGAAAATGAAATGGAGAATAAAACAAAAGAGAATAAAATGAAAATAATATTTAATAAAAAATGAAATAAGTAAATTCAAAATAAGAATATAAAATAAAGAAGTGATCAATTTATTGAATCAACAAATAATTTATAAAATTAAATATTTCATAAAATACCAGATATTTATATAGAATATAAAATAAAACAAATAATAAGAATAATAAATAATATAATAATAGTATATGATAAGAAGATAAATCAGATATTTACTAAGAAATTTAAAATATATAGAACCAACTCAAAATAAAACAAATTAATAAAATCAAATGAAAGTAATTGCAGTTGTAATAACAATAAATATATTATTTAATAAAGAAACAGTAAGAATGATAAAAGAATAAAATATAATAATTCAATATAAAATAATGATAAAAGATATAATAATTAAAAATATAAAAGAATTAATGAAATATTGTGGATATCATAGAGGTGAATATATAGAAGTACTCTATGAACAAGGGTCTGAAGAGATTGAATGATGTAATCTCATCTGAATAATTTGAATTATATAAAATAAGATATATTATTACTTATTTTATTAATTTTTTATTTAATATATTAATTAATTTTTAAATTATTAATTAATTTTGATAGTTAAATAATAAATTAAATATGTTTATTATAAAATAATTATATCATTTAAATAATTTATTATATTTATTAAATGTTAATATTATTAATATTAATATTTATTTAAATTAATTAGATATTATTTATATGAAAATTATAAATGAAATAAAAATATTTATAAAATAATATATTTAAATTCAATTTATATATTTTATTTTTTTATGGTACAATTTAATAATAGTGTGATAAATCATTTATGGTATATTAATAATTATTTAATTATTTATATTTTATATAATATTTATTAATTATTTTATTGTTTAATATCTAAAACAATTATTTTCTTTTCTCTTTTATTATTTTATAGTTTTATATTTAAAAAATCAAATTTAATTTATTATAGTTTATTATATTATCAAATATATATTTATTTTTATTTCATATTCATTTAATTAATACAAAAAGAATAAATTATATATATATATTCATTTATATTAATAAATTATTAGAAAATAATTTATGAATAATAAAAACTAAGAATACATACATTTTTCATTGGAAATGAAATAATAATATAATAATAATATAAAAGAAGAAGATATTTAAATAACACATAGTCATTTCATTGTGAAAT